GGGGTCGAGTGGGATGGAGTGGTTGTGATAGATAAGTTCCTCCCGTTTGGGTTACGCTCTGCCCCAAAGATATTTTCAGCAGTAGCAGATGCAGCACAATGGGTGTTGCTTCATAATGGGGTAAAACTCAGCCTCCATTATCTTGATGATTTCATCATGGTTGAAGGTGATCTGGTGGCAGCACAGGAGGCAAAGAGGTTGCTGTGCTCTACTTTTGAGAAACTGGGCCTCCCATTAGAGCCCAGCAAGCTGGAAGGTCCGTCAACCTGCCTCACATTTTTAGGAATTGAGGTGGATAAATTCAATCTCCAGCTGCGTCTCCCCGCAGAGAAACTGGCCCGTCTGATGGACCTGCTGGAGGAGACCCATGGCAGAAAGCACATTCTAAAAAAGGAGCTTGAGAGTCTTACAGGGCTGCTACAGTATGCCGCTAAGGTAGTCAGACCAGAAAGGCCTTCATTCAGAAGCTGTACGCCCTTGAGAAGGTGGGGTCAGCTCCAGATCACAAGATTCGTTTGAACAAACCAGCTAGAGCAGATGTGATGTGGTGGCAGATGTTTGTCTCCAGTTGGAATGGAATCTCCATGCTTTCTGGTCCAATGAATTCACCGGCAGATGTTGAGGTCTTTTCAGATGCCTCTGGTTCATGGGGAGGCGGTGCATTCTGTTTTCCCCAATGGTTTGCGTTTAAATGGCCGCTTGCCTTGGAGTCCACCTCCATTCAGGTGAAAGAACTGATTCCAGTTGTCATGGCAGCGGCCTTGTTTGGAAGTAGCTGGAAGGGAAAACTTGTGGTGTCCTCTGTCAATAATGAAGCGGTAGCCTACATCCTCAATAAGACCCACAGCAAAGAGAGCCATCTTATGCATCTCATCAGACTGCTCGTGTTCTACGCAGCTCATTTTGACTTTTGGTTTCGTGCCGAGCATATCCCAGAGAAGAGAAACTCGCTTGCTGATGCCCTATCAAGAGATAATATTAATTATTTCTTATCGCAGGCTCCTCACTTCCATACTCAGCCAGTATCAGTTCCTCCCTCTCTCCTACCGCTGGTAGCTCTAGACGAGTAATGGACATCCACTCTCTGGATGGAGTTGTTCAGGCGTACTTTACAGCAATGCTGATCTGTGCCCAGTATCTGCGCTCCTGAGTTACTTGGTGCATTGAGGCAGGAGTTGATGGGCCTTGTCATGGTGGATGGTCAGCCTTTAGAAAGGACCCGCCTGGTGGAGAAAGTACGCCGCGCCCTCTCGAGGGCGGGGCTGCCAGCAGAAAATTTCGCAGGTCACAGCTTTCGTATTGGGGCTGCAACGACAGCAGCAGCTGTTGGGGTCGAGGACAGTACAATCCAGGCCCTGGGACAATGGAAGAGCTCCGCATTCAAATTTTACATCCGCCCATCTACAGACCACTTGGCCGGGGTATCTAGGTCCTTGGCCCAATGTAATGTGTGAGGGGTGATCCTGTGTCTAGTCAGGGGAACCGGTAACTCAAGGCCTTCTATCATAGGCCTTGTTGGGTGGAACAAACCCTTTCCCTTCTTCTTTATTAATAATAATTATTAAAATTAAAGTTATAAATTTGGGGCCCACATATGGGGGCCCCAAGAAAAATTATTAATAAAATGTAATAACATAGGATCCATAATTCCACAGCCTGAATAGTTAATTGAAGTTTAGGCCAAAGGTTTAAACGAAGTTAACTAGAAGGCTGTGACAGTGGTAGTTATATTACTTATAAGTAATAACCAGTGCTTCATAGTAGTAGTAGTCACTAGTCAGCGTGATAGCAAGCAGGAGCATTACAGCTAGCAGCAGCATCAAAGCATCTCATCTTGGTTCTATCAAGTTTCTTCTCCCCACCCTCCCTGCCCACTTAATCTTCCTCCATTACCATTAAGGGTAATGAGAACATGGATAGTGTTATTACAAACCTTTCCCCTTCTTCTTTATTAATAATAATTATTAAAATTAAAGTTATAAATTTGGGGCCCACATACGGGGGCCGCAAAAAAAATTATTAATAAAATGTAATAACACGGGATCCATAATTTAACAGCCTGAACAGTTATTGATCATTTGCTGCAAAAAGCCACCATTTTTTTCATTGTGACTACACCCACTTTCAATGAAGATTAGGCTAATTAACTTAAATAATAGTTAAATGACCATATCCTCTTACAAACAAACAGACACTCTTTGCCTTAGTAGGGCTCGCTTATATAATAATAATAATAATTATAAATAACAGTTACCTTAGCTAATACATAAATTATTTCTATGAAGCTAGCTAGTCCTTCAGATGAAGCAACCCAAACCTGAGCAGTAAATCTACCACTTATGGTATGAGCTAGAAAGAGAGAGGGAGGGAGGGAGAAAAAAGGAGAAGAAAAAATGCATGTAATATACATTCAACATACAACTCAAGAACATAACATATATCATTACAACTTTGGCGGCTGCAGAAGTCCAACTCACCCTAGGCATTTCTAGTTCAAGGGGTGTGGTAAAAGGGTTAAATAGCATTGTTCTTACTTTGGTCTAATTTTTAACCGAGGCAATGACCCCCAATGCCTCGTCCTGCAGCCGGCAATGCATTACAATTATGTCTATGCATTACAATTATGTACGGGACTGGTCAGCAGTAAGTTAACACGTTTTGCGTTTGAGTTCAGTTTGAGTTTGCTATAGTTTACCGTTTTCATAGCATCATACTAGTTGTAAACTAATGCTGCATTTACACTACAGAAGTGGGCCAAACTGTGCTAAACCAGGCTGAGCTGGCCCTGCTGTACTAACCATGCTGGCCTGGTTTGGCCCAGCTCACTTCAGCTCAGTTTGGTTACTGTTTACACTATCAAATGAAACTGTGCTGGCCCACATTAAACAGGGCTGGCTCAGTTAAAGAAGCTAGTGTAAACACAGTATAACATTATCCAGGCTCAAATGTTACCACAATCTCAGGCAAATGTAACTTGCATTATCACATTTTATCATTTGTTAACTTATTGCTGACCAGTGCTGTTGGAGGTGTACCTGCTAATGGTAATAAGTTTAACTTCTTTCTTTAAGGAGAGTGAGTCACGCAACCGACTGCCATACAATTTATCTGTTAAACAAGAACAATGTCTAGAGTCACATGATAGTCATGTGACATACCTTTTGAGTCACGTCATACTCCTTGAGTGTATCTGGCAGTAGAGGAAAGGGAAGGAGGAAGGGGTAGGCAGGCCATCCTTAGGTACAAGCAAACATTTACTGAGCTGGAAGTCAGGGAGGGGCTTTATATAGCTTGGATCATGAGGAGAGAATGGGGCTTCTGATGGAACAGAAATACTGAGAGAGAGAGAAAGAAGTATAGGAAGAAGTAAAGAAGTAAGAAAGTGTGTACATGGAGATGTTTGTAGAAATTTTTAGGCATTATTTGATTTTATAATTAGCATTTTTGTCACAAATTGCAATTATTTTTGAAACAAAAACTGGGCAAATATTGGTGATTAGCAATTCAGCAGAACTAGCAAGTTGCTTTGCTTAAAAAACTATTTCTTCCATTTATACCCTAAAGCCCCTTATTCTTAAGTAGACAAATTTTTGCGATTTGTTAATGGTACTGATTTGACACCTACTAATTTTTTGCAATTTTGCTCATCTTTCCCAATTAATAACTGTAATAAACCTAAATTATTAATGAATGCGAGTAATAATTTTTGCGATTTTAAAGCCACTCGCAAAAATTAGTACTCGCAAATAATAGTGGCTTTAAGGTATATTGACTTTATTTATAGTAACATGTAATTTCTATAAATAGATACCATCATACATACCTAAAGTCTATTCAGATTCACCTGACCTATTGAATTTTTGTTATAACTTTTGAGAAACATCGAATTTAGAAATTTTGTTTGCACCATTAGAATCGCTAGGTCCTTCCCGTCCTTTAAATAAAAAGATTGAGTCAAAATGATAAGGCCTTAGCCTTTTTTGGATGTCCCTAAATACATTCAATGACATACCTTTGATTACAATTATTCAGCTAGAACAGCCAGAAAAAATTCAGCTGCTACTTACCTGCATCCCTTCTGTGCAAAAAAAACAATTTCAAAACCACAAATGTGTAAAGAATGCGGATGTGACGTAGTTATTTATTAATTGAAAAAAGCCAGGGGACAGGTGAAAGTGAATAGACTTTAGTGTATGTCTCTTCTACATGATTTGGTATTGGCTCCACTTTATTTGAATTGTCATGATGATGAAAAACAACTTAAAACTTCTCTGCAAACCTAAAAATTGCATAATTAGGAAAGTGAGAGCCAAATATATTTAAAAAATTAACCTCTTCCATCCTCCTTTCTTACAACCTTTCTCCAGCTGCATCTTAAGACCAGTGGAGTTATAAATAAATAAATAAATAATGACAATTTAATAATAGTTAATAATAATAATAATAATAATAATAATAATAGTTATGTAGTATTGTTATTGTTACCTTTGTTTTTCTTCATTTTGTCTGTGAACTTCTAATTGAGTTTCATGTAGTTTCTTCAGCACTTCATGAAACTCTTTCTTTGTTATACAATAAACATCAAAAGGCTGTGGAAACACATGAAGATGGAGAGATAGAACTAGTATGAATATGCAAGTACGTGTACTTACCTGATCAAGATAATATTCTATTATCTCATCACGTGCAGCTCTTAATCTAAAAAAATTAACAAAAATTAATAATTTAAAATCACAGCAAAAAAGAATTAAATGCTAATGACCAAGAGCCATAACTTAAAAATTGAAGTTGGAATCAGCTTCAAACTTTCTACATAGCATAAATGGTGCAATTTTTCTAAAAATTTGTCATCACTGTTTTGGGCAGGTAACTTTGAGAACAAAATTTTAGACGTCAAACGGAAATAATTATTGGGCAAAGCCCACTAAGAGGAGAAAAAGTTTGTATGTTTGTACGGGCATAGAGTCATCTAACTATTATTAAAGTTAAATAGCCTAATCTTCATTGAAAGCGGGTGTGGTCACAATGAATAAAATGGGGCTATCAGAAGACTAAATTGCTATCCAAAATCTTTTCCAGAAGCAAGGAAGGTCATACAGCAGAACAATAGAGTCACTCGTGGGCTGAGCCCCTTTAAATGTTAATTAAGCCAAAATAATTATTTTTGACGAATCTAGAGGCAGCATGGTGGAGCGTGAGTGCATCATGAAGTTTGCCAAGTCACTGCTTCCCTGCAACTCCATTGCCAGTTAAACTTATCAGAATGCTTGGTATCAAAAAAAGAATGTATAACTGCTTCTTCAACCTTTCTTCTTGCTAGCAAAGTCTTTGGACAGCAGTTTTGCTTTATCTTGCTGACCATTTGCTGCAAATAAGCTCAGACTGCTGATAGCCAATATGTTGTTCATTGTGACCACACTCGCTTTCAATGAAGATGAGGCTATTTAACTTTTAATAAAATTTAGACGACCCTATCATGCCCGTACAAACAGACACTTATTGCATTTGTGGGGCTCGCCCAGGCTCACCATAATTATGAAATTCGATTTCCTTGCTGGCTGCTTTCTCATGTGATGAACAATGCTGTGTCAGTAACTCTAAACTGACCATATTGCTTTTTTTTCACAAATTATATGTATTTCATTTAAAATGTTTTCAATTTGACAAGATAGTTTACTGAATTTGTCTATACTTGAATCATGCTGACATGCGCAACCTCGGCAGTTAAATGAAACAGACACAGGAAGCAAAGTGCAACAGCTACTAAATATGAGGGTTTTACTGGCAACAGTTCATCATTTAATGCAACATGGCAAGAAAAACAGGTCACGTTCGCCACACATCTCTTATCTGCAATCTGAGAGAAAGTGAAATATGCACCAAGTGGATATGAAACGGGAAGTGCCTATGCAGGATGAGATGTTTTTCCTACATACACTTAGCAACCAAAATGGTGGCCAAATCTATAAGTATTAAAAACTTCATAAATATTTATGTTTCTTCTGAAATGAGTCAGTACAAGAAGCAAACGACAATTTATCTTCATTGGTTTAATATTCATACCCTAATT